TGGCATCAATAGACATAAAGTGCTATCTCCAGAGCCTCACAGATGAGTTCAGGAATGAAGTTATTAGTGACCTGAAGCTAGACATAAGCAGAATAGTTAGAGAAATGCTAAGCACCACCCAAGAAAAAACAGATGGTGGAATGGAACAACAGAAAAAGAGGGGAGAATTGTTTGATGGAGTAAATAGAGAAAGCATAGAATACGTGAAGCAGGTTCAAAGAGATTACCAGGAAACTAAAAACTCTATTGAAAGCTGGCATAACAACTTGAAAGAAACTAAGGATAGTTATCTGAACTGAAGGCCAGATTTGTAATATGGGAGCATGAAATGAAAAACTTCTTAAAAATAACAAAGAAACAAACAGCAATTATACAAAGACTAGAAGATGATAAGAGGATCTATAACTTAAGAATTAAGAACATAAAAGAAGAGGTAGGGACACAAACAAATGAACTACAAAAGCTACTTGCAGAAATAATCCAGGAGAATTTTCCTAATTTAGCAAAAGGTAAAGATACTCAAATGTATGAAGCATTCAGGACCCCAGCCACCTACAACCCAAACAGAGCTATACCCAGGCCAGAAATCCAATATAAAAACAGAATATTAAAAGCCGTCAGAGACAAGGAACAGATCACTTACAAGGGAACACCCATCAGAAGTACAGCAGACTTCTTGGCACAAACCATCAAATCACGAAGAGCATGGGGGGGAAATAATTCAAGCTTTGAAAGATAATAACCTCCAGCCAAGATTGATATATCCTGCAAAACTATCCCTGGAAATTGGTGGAAAAACAAGATGCTTCCAGGATAAAGATGAACTAGGGGAATATGCAACCACCAATTCAACTCTACAGAGAATATTGCAGGATATTCTAAAAAAGAAAAATATGAAGAATCCATAAATAGTGGCAGAGAGGCCACAATGAATGGAGCAGAAAACAAAATGAAGAAGACAAACTGACAACTAATGACAGAAAAAGAGCTCCATAGAAATGAGGCAGAGAAGATTGGATGATAGGAACAGCTATTTTGGAGAAAACGATGTCATAATAGGTAATGCTGATTTAGTATCATCTTGTTTTGAAGTCTGATCAAGCTTTTGTTCTTCTGTCTCCATTGGTCTTAGCATGTTGTATCTTATTGGATTTTATTATATGTGATAGTAGAAACAAAAACTTTTATAGACAAGGAGATTATACAGAAACCATTGTTCATTTTCTGTTAGTTGATTCTAAATACCTGTAATACTGTCATTCCCTTGAATGTTTTACAGTGTTTTGATATATTTGATGCTACAGTATACGAAGTTATACTCAAAGATTTCAAAGAAAGAAACACTATGGTAACTACTTTTATGTCGGGATTATCTTGTGGTGAAACACTATTTTGCTTAAATGGTTATGTTTTGATCTGCGCTATTTTGTTGTTACCCCCTCTTTTATCTCAATCTCCATTTTATTATTTATTTTTTATTTTTATCCTTTTAATTAAGGGGAAAATAAATTAAAAAAATAGTAGGATATATTATAATAACCCACTTTGATTTACTATTAAATTGATTTGAAGCCCTGAATTGCTCTCACTGTCTTATCTTGACTGATGTTCCTCTATTCTGTTTTGCTTGATAGTACCAGGTTCAAAAGTATAGACAACAGCTGTGAAGATAGTGGGATTCATTATGACGCCCATTCTGGTTGACTATTATCTACTTTTGAAGACCTGTAATGTCTCCAATGTTTTGGTTTTGTTGGTTTCGTTCTTTACTGTTTTGTTCAATTTTATTATAACTGAAGATATAGGCAATTCTATTAGAGATAGTGGGAGGCATTATGGTAACCATTGTGATCACCTTGTATTATGTTTTTACATTATCTATTATGTCCACCCTTTTGATTTGACCGACTCTGTTCTGTTATGTCACATTTGGTTTTACTCTCTTCCAAAAAAAGTAATAAGAACTGTGGGACCAATAAAACCCAAAATGTGTAATAGTCATTGTATAAAAAAGAGGAAAAGAAAGTGCTCTAAATGATATAACTGCATGTATATTTAAGTATATAAGATAGACAATGATATTACTGAGTTTTGTTGGATCATTGAACAGAATTGTTTGGTCTCACTGTTTGAATATTCACTATATAAGCTTTAATTTTGTAACTTGAACAAGTATTTCCAAGATGACAATATGTAATTCATTAACTAGTGATTTCCTGTTAATTTTTTTTTCTGAAATTCTGTATAACTTGTACCCTTTTTCTGCTTTTTTTTCTTTTTCTCCTTAAATAAAATTTAAAAAAAAATAAATCACAACATGAAATCATGAAAGCCAGAGGATATATGAACATTTTTAAAGACTGAAAAAACAAGAAGCAAAAGAAAACTGTCAACCACAAGTTATGAGTGTAATAAAATACGGTTCAGTAAAAAAGGGGCAGAAAGATTTCTCAAAGCACAATAATTTTTAAATAGCAAACCTATCACTATGGGAAGGAAAGTTCTCTAAACATAAAGGAGTGAGAATAGCAGCCTGAGAGCACAGCAAAGCGAAAAGAGCTTCAGGACGGACACTAAGGGTAGCTGCCACAGCCTAACCAATCTCCGCAACTGCTCTTTCAGAAATAGCCAGAAATACTGGACAGAAAATCAGCAAGCACAACACAGAAGAGCTCAACAGTGCAACAAAGCCACAGGCTCCCAGTGATGCACACAGAGGCTCCATGGAGGCAGGCGTTCCCAAACCACAAACCAGCCCAGCCCGTCTAGAACTGGACTCACACTGCATTCAACATAATCCATCAAACTACCCAAGTTAGCACATCAATCAACTATCACCCCAGCCTCCACATATCCCCTAGGAATGGGTGGAAACCGGTGACCTCTGCACTTACTAATCAAGAAGGAAGAATGGAGGAAAAAAATTGCAAAAATAGCAGTTGAGGCGGGTGGGTAAGAATGAGGAGCAGGTCACTGGTGGGCTGTACTTAGAATGGTCCAAGTCCCTGCCACCTCCCAAGCTGAGCTTTGATTTCTGTGCCCCAGGTTATAGGAGGTGCGAACCTGGTGATCCTTGGCTATTTCCTTCCACATCATGCGCTGCACTGAAGTGCAGCCAGAAGGCCTGCAACATGGGGTTAGGAGAGAGGCCCTGTCCTGCAGAGGGGACATGTCAGCCGCTGAGAAAGCGCTTCAGGCGCTGACAGTGTGGGTGAGGCTCCTGCCAACCCTGCCAGCCAAGGGGCGAGGCCTGGTTGCAGAGTAAGCCCCTCATTTCTGCAAGCTCTTGCTCTCCACCGGCTGTGTCCAGCACCATGGGCAGCCTTTCCAGCTCAACCTACAGAGCAGCTCTCAGACTTCCTTTCAGGCTGCGGTGGGAGAGGGACTGCAAGGTGCCAGGAACCAAGTCTTCCTGGAAATTTCCCACCTGGGCCCCCGGTCCCTGAAATCCTCCAGGCAGAACCACAGCTCACAATGCCCTCTCTTGCAGCTGGAGAGGATGCCCTAGAACAAGCACTTTCCACCACCCAGGCACAGCGTGACTGCCCTCTGTATGGACTCCCTCAGGCTCACCCCACACAGGGACAGCAGACATTGACAGCCACCGCTCCCTGGATCAGAAACCCCGCGCCATCTGAGCTTTTCCCGTCTGGCACGGTGTGGGGTCCTGAGGACCTCCTCCCTCCCATTTGTTCCCTCTTGTATCCTCTGTGTCTGCCTGCCAGGCACTCTCCTCCAGTTCTGCTGACTTCCCCAAAAGCCACCTCTCCATAGTTTCTTTCATTGTTAAAATTCTTTCCTATAGCATCCACTAGTTCTGCCTCCAAAGGGCCGCCCCTCCTTCTCCTTGAAGGACAGTGTCATTCTCAAGGGACTAGGACCAACTAGGCCCACTGGTTCCTTCACCCACTCACACCTCAGCAGGACGGGGGGGGGGGGGCGACAGTGGGATGGGGCCCTCAGCCACCCCAGGACAGACCTGTCACCTCTGCCCATACAGCGCAGGTAACAGAGCTGCCCTCTCTCTCCCTGGCTTCCTCCACCTCTGTGGAGGATGAGCACCTCAGACTGCACCCACCCCTCAGCTGCAAGGATTTATACACTCATCAGAGCCTTGGAAGCAGTAATGCCAGGCTCTGGTGCCAGTTTCTGGTGCTCTCGGTGTCTGCACGCCTTCCAGTTAAGGAGGATCCAGGGCGCAGTTGCAGGGAGGGTGTTTGATGGAGTGGTCAGATGGCTCTCCACAGCAGAGGCAGCCAGCCTCACAAATGCTGGGGAAGGAGCTCAGAGGCCTGCAAAGCAGGCTGACTGTGAGAAGCCCACGTGCCACAGCTTTGCTGCTGAAAAAGCGGCAAGAAAAAGACTGCAAGAGCCAGGGCAAGAGAAGCGCAGAAGAGCACAGGCTCACTACAGCACGGCCAGCACTCCCGGGGACACGAGATGACTCCCGGTATGACACTCTCGCCGTACTCGGAGACCTGACCCAGGAGAGACAGACACCAAAGTGGACTATCAGGAATCTCCTGGACTTCAACAGAGCCAGCCAAGCAGCTCAGAAAGGACCCTGCAGCACATGAGGGACTGCTGCTCCTCCGAAGGAAGGGGCACAAGAGAGGGAGGAAAGATCCAACCCCGCCCAGGCCTGGCCACACGCTCTGTCCTGCCTTGCGCCTCCTCTGGCTTCACAGGCTGCTCCATAGGGCCTTTGGCAACAATCCCAGAATCCTGCAGCAGTGGCACACAGTGCCCCACCAGAAGCCCTGGCCCGGCGCCTCAGGAGCCCCACCCAGGGCTCAGATCCGGAGCACCTCAGGCCCTGCCACTGCTTCTTGCCAAAGTCCCCCACGGTTCTCTGTGCTTCCAGGCTGCGATGACGCGAGAAACATCAAACCCTTGAAACGACTGAGGAAAAACATGTGAATCACAGGCATGTAAAGTGCAGGCACCGCCCCGTGACCTGACATGGAGCGGCCTGCACAGCAGCGTGGGGTGGAGCCTACCGTGCCTGGCAGCCCAGCAGCAGCATCTCACGGTTGTGAAGCAGGACATAGCACAGCACCAGGAAGGCCTTCGCTCGGATGGAAGTCGAGGGACTGTCGAGTAAACGGAGAACCGTGGAGACGAAATCCTGCGGGTGGCAGTTGAAACGGTTTTTGAGAAATCAGAAAAAAATACAACAAAAAAAAACTGAGGGAAATCTCAGTTCTCAGACTACAGATTATGATAAACAATGGCAGGAAATAAAATAACTACTGTTCTTGGATTTTCAGCATATTCCAGACTCCATACTAAGTTTTTCATATGCATTATCTCACTGAAACCTGAAAATCAGCCACAGAAAGTTGCCAATTGTATTCCTACTTTAAAGAGGAAGATAAATCTTAAAAAGGTAAGCAACACACCCAAACTCAGGGTTGGGTTCAAATCCAGGCCCGAAACACAAAGCCTGCCCCTTGGCCATTCAACCACAGGACCGGAAGCTGCACGCAGAACTGAGCTTGGAGTGGGCTGCCCACCTGGGACCCTGGGGCACGTATCTGAGGTTTGGGCAAACACGAGACAGCAATGCCTCGTCCAGGACCACAAAGAAAATGCTACACTCTCAGCACAGCTTCAGGTAGAGGGTTAACATGGCATGAAACAGGAGCTCCTAACAAGTCACACTGACACAGAAGAAATTCAATTCCTGACCTGCTGGAAGTCCAATGCGCTGAGTATGAGGTCCCATAACATCTAGGAATGAGGTCGTGAACCAAAGGAGGCAGTTAGGAGAGTTTTACTAGCATAAGGAGAGGAAGAACAGCTCCTGGATTTCCAGCAGGGGTCCCCAGTAGGAGGCCATGGAGGCCCTTTGTCAGAGGTTACAAGGCAGAAAGAGTAGGTCAGACTCCCATTCATCCACCTGTAAGATTACAAGAGTGCCACTCAGCTAACCTGATCCAGTAGGGAAATGAGTTTGTAGCAAGGGCACGTAGAAAGAACAAAGGCATTTTAGGAAGGAAGGGGAGTTTGGGGCCAGGTGTCCCGGTCACTACCTGTGTGCCCAACACCTACCTGGGCCCACTGGGCCAGGAGATGCTAATTACTCGGGCTGCTGGAGAGGCTGCCCGGCTGGCTCCTGCTGCTCCACCCTGAGGCCTGGCTCTCCTGGGATTCACCGCCAGTCACCACCCCGTCTTTATTTCTGTGCTGACTTCCTTGAGGGCCCAAGCCCTCTCTGACTGTGTATTAATGTCTATCTAACCTAGCTACCTATAAAAGTAGCTATTTTCCTTTTGACAGACTGAGTCATTTCTGGTGCTCTGTTAGCATAATGACAGGGAAGACACATGTGCACACATTTATTAACCTAAGCAATGGGGAACGGGGATGCTACCAGTGTGAGATGTGGGATATGCCTCCCTCAAGGTCCTCCAGCCAACTTCTAGGACAGACTCCCGAAGCCTGCTGTTCACCTTGTATTTATTCATATATGTTTTACTGGGCAAACCATGGTTCTTTAATGCTGTTTTGTGCGTCCAGAGAGAAAGATCTTGCACAGCCATGGGTAGAAGTGTGGTCCCTGAGCCCCTGAAACAAACTATCAAAACCAAACCGCACTGCAGGGTGAGAAACAGAATCACACCAAGATGCCTGGAGAGGATGTCTGCGTTTTCAGCGTCACAGCAGTGGGACGTCCATGTCCCCTGTCCACCTGTCACTTCTTCTGCAGTCAGCTTTCCACCCTGCTGGACCGAGAAGCTGTCCGGAGTACAAGGACGGAAGTGGTGCCAGCATGACCACAGCTCCCACCCGGAACTTCGAGAGCAGTAAGAGAACCTGCATGATGACTGCACATTCACTGTAACGCCAGGTCAGGGCAGCTTCCTGGTCCTAAGGAATATTCAGGGAAGTAATCAGATGTAAAAGGGTTTCCCATCTGCAACTTCTCTAATGGGTCAGAAAACACCTACACTACAAGAAAAGGAGGGCAAATGACAATGAAAATATGGAAATGTGAGCGTTCGGTGAGTGTGGTCGGGGGCTCTCTGCCATCCTCTGCCTGCCCCATGCGACATTCCTGCTCGAGGATCCTCTGTGACAGGGCCTGACTCTTCCTCCCTCCTGGGTACACAGCATGGGCTCTGAGCCCCTGCACCCAGCCTCTGTGGCCCCTCCACGCACCCTACATCTCCCCTGAGCTGCTGCCCCAGGCTTCTTCCGCCCACCTGTGCTACAAGAGGCTACTGTGGTATTGTCCATAAAGACAGCTATGGAGACAACAGAAAAGGACAATTGAAACGTTCCAGCTGGGTCCTCTGCTGTGCTCCAAATGTGTGTCCCCCAAGTCCCTACGCCACAGCAAAGCCCACTGTGATGTTGTGAGGAGTTGGACAGGTCTTGAGGTTCCGCCCTACCCTCCCGAGGGGCCCCAGTGAACTGGCTGCATCTTCAGCCTGCAGACGCACGGGGGCACCGGTGCTGCCAGCGCCTTCACACTGCACTTCTCCACCTCCAGAACAACGCATCGCACTTGTTTCCAGTCTACGGTGTTTTGTTCTAGCAGCCAAACAGACTAACACACCACCCATTCAAAACCAGAAACACACAAGAACCATGAAGTAGAGGTAAACTGTAATACCACGGCTCGAGCAGAAGGAAACAGTGACAGCTAAGCATATACAGACATGAGAAAGGACTGAATCTCTCAGCTCCACAAGGAAAGAAGGCTACAGGCAATGTTACTTAGGAAACTGGATGCAAAACTTCGCAATGAAAAATAAGTTGAATCCAGCAGTAAGTTAAAAGAATAATACATTATCACCTAGTGGGTCAGTCCCAGAAGGCCAAGGATGGTTCAAACTTGAAAATCAATCAATGTAACTCACAGACTATGCTGATCCAACAAGAAGATTCCCATGACACATCAATTATAACATTATGAAAAGCATTTGGCAAAATGCAACATCTATACACGATAAAAACTCCCAGCAAAGTAGGGATAGAGGAGAATTCCCTCAACCTGAAAATGAGCACCTAGAAGGCAGAAGTGAATGTCACACTTTCTGGTTACTTTTCACTCTCCTCACCCACAAGCCAACATCTTACTCAAAGCTGTAGCCAGTAAATGAGGAAAAAATGAATAATAAAAGACAGCAGAATCAGAACAGAAAAAGACCAGGCATGGGGGTGCACACCTGTAATCCCAGCACTCAGGAGACTGAGGCAGGAGGATCACTGCAAATTTCAGGCCAGCCTGGGCTACACAGTGAGTTCAAGGCCAACCTGAACTGTATAACAAAACCCTGTCTCAAAAGACTAAAAAAAAAAATTTTTTTTGAAATGGAAGTCATACTTGTAAATGACATGACTGACTATATAGAAAATCCCAAAGAATGTACAAAAATGTTCTTAAATTAATAAGAAAGTTTAGCAAGATATAGTACATTTCTATTTTCTATGTGTAACTGGAAAACAACATTTCAAAGTACTATGTTTTGATATCTATAATAACAGTAAAGAAATGTTGATTTAAATGTAACAAATCTATACATAATCTTTACAAAGATGAATATAAAAGTGATGGAAAAAAGTTTTAGAATTATAAATAGAAGACACTTTTCCTGTAGCAAGACTCAAGTTGGTTAAGATGTCAGTTCTTCCCAAACTGGCCTAGAAACCTAATGGAATTTCATCAAAATCCCAATAGGGTTTCCCTAGATGCACACAGGATAATTTTAACATAAAAGGGCAGGGAACCACAATAGATAGCACAGTGATTTTCTGTCATGGAAGCAAACTGTAGCAATCAAAGCAATGTAACAAAAGATAAACATGTAGACTAAAGGGGAAAAACAATAAAGAGCTTAGAAACGTAGTCAGGTAATGTATGCCAAAGATGCAAAGGCAATTTCAGAAAAAGGAAGTCTTTTCAACAAACGAAGTTGAAACAACTTGATATCCACATGCAAAAACCAAAATAAAAAACTTGACCAACACACTGTACCATCATAAAAAAACTAACCCAAAACAGGCCACACAATCAAACAAAACATGTGCTACAAAACCTTTAAGAAAAAGTCAAAAGTGTTCATGTCCTTGGGTGCAGGAGAGCTCTTAGATACTGACACCCAAATCATAACCCATAAAAGAAAACGACCAGGAAAGTATGCTTAATCCTCAGGAAAACTTGGCCCCTGTGGAGGTCGTGAAGAGACGAGTCACGCCCCAGGAGAAAACACTGCTGTCCACAGTCCAGGGAGCACTCACAAAATGTGACACTAGGAAAACATCTCAGGGTACAGCATGTCCAACGTGGCATTTCTCTAAAGGTGCAAAGACGAAGGGTGCTCAGGGGCGAAATCATTTCCGTAACACAATTGGGATCACGATGAGACACCATGCAGGCGTAGGGTGATGAGAGTGGAATTCCTGAGTCTGCGGAGCGCCTGGGATGTCCCACTCACAGCCCACATGCAGATACTCAGAAATCAGTATGATGCTTTCGAAAATAAGCTAAGCAGATTCCTACCACAAAAGCCTCCTCTTTTGCACTTCTTAGCATTTATGCTAATGACGGGAAAATGAAGATTCACAAAAACCCTTGTATACAAACTTTGAAAGCAATGGAACTCACAACAGTCAAAAATGGGAAGTGACCCTTATGTCCTTCGGTGGCCACATGGACACCGCTTCCCTCGACGGGATGGAACTCCATCCAGCAACCACAAGTGCACTGTGCTCACTAAAAACCCACATCCACAGGGGCACAGACAGTGTGATCCTACCATGGTGATGCCCTGGAAGAGTGGCCAGGCAGCTGTGACACGGCAGTGGTGTGGGGCCAGCCTGGCCTCAACAGATGGCAATGTGCGCCATCCTCGGGGACATGGGTGCCACTCTCCTCCCTCTGGTGGCAGAGCTGACACCAGACTGCGGGTGTTCATCTTCACACAACTGTGCTCCGAGAGAATGAACTATGGTTTGTGACTAAACTTCAAAAGGGAGGAGGGAAGCAACCTTATGGTACTGCATATCTGTCAAAACAAATCTGTAATGTTGGAAAAGTTACCCAAAATACTTCAAACCTGTAGGGGACGAATTGGTTTCTTCGCATTCAAATAACTTTTATCAGAAAAAAATACATGA